AAGTAAAAGGAAGTTAGTTAACATCCAACGTCTAATGTCCTTTACACATTCCTCAACTTTACTAAGCTTCTGTCTGTCCTATGGCTTTGCTGAAACATACAACTGTGTATAATCAGCATAACAGTGGAAGCTAATTCCATGTTTACGAATAATTTGACCTAGAGGTAGCATATATAAAGTAAAAGGCAGTGGGCCTAAAACAGAACCTCGTGGAACACAAAATTTATCCTTGGTATGTGTGCGAAAGTCTCCATTTACATCTATGAACTAATAACGATCGGTCAAATAAGACCTGAGCCAGGAGAGGACTGTTTCCTTAATGCCAACAACATTTTCTAATCTATCAAGGAGAATAGTGTGATCTATAGTATTCATCAAAAGCTGCACTAAGGTCGAGTAACACAAGCAGCGAGACACAACCCTGATCAGAGGCCAGTAATAGGTTGTTTACTACTTTAACTAACGCTGTCTCTGTGCTATGATGAGGTCTAAATCCTGACTGATACATTTCATGAATGTTATTCCTATGCAGGTATGAGCATAACTGTTGTGCTACAAACTTTTCTAAGATCTTGGAGGTGAAGGGGAGATTTGATATAGGTCTATAGCTGGACAGTTGAGAGGGGTCAAGGTCAGGTTTATTAATCAGGGGTTTAATAACTGCTAATTTAAGTGATTTAGGTACATAGCCAGTGCTAAGGGAAGAATTGATTATTTAGAGATTAATGTAGCTAGTTCAGTCTCTCTAAGTGGAGTAAAACATTCTAAACATTGATTTGATATTGCTACATTATCATCTATAGGGTTAGTTATAATACTGTCTGGTTTTAATTTAATAGCCTGAATTTCTCATCTAATACTTTCAACCTTATCAATGAAAAATTTCATGATATCTTCACTGCTATTTAATGATTGAGTGTTTCTCTCTGTAGTGGTTTTATTCCTAGTTAATTTTGCTACTGTGTTGAATAGAAATCTCGAATTGTTTTTGTTACCCCATATTAAAGTGGAGAGAGAGACTTCTCTAGCATCGCTAAGAGAATTTCTGTAATTCAGTAGGCTCTCCTTCCATGCTGTTTGAAATATTACCAATTTGGTTTGACACCATTTACGTTCTAATTGTCGAGTGGTCTGTTTTAGGGTACGTGTTTTATCGTTAAGCCAGGGTGCTAGTTTTTTCTCTCTAATTAAGTTTCTTTTGAGTGGAGCCACTCTATCTAGCATGTAGTGGAGTGTTGACTAAGCATTCAGTCGCCTGATCGGGTTCTATCGGATCTGACGGTGATCCAAATCTAAGACATCAAATTGATGTCTCTGGGAGGTTATTTATGAAGCTCGGTGAAGTAGCTGATGTGAAAGTAGGTTTTACGCAGTAGCGAGGCGAGGTGGAGATATTATGATCAATATGTATTATGAACGAGATAAGTTAATGGTCTGAGACAACTTCAGGCCGTGGAAAAATTACAATATTTTCTATATTTAATCCATATGTTAGTATGAAGTCAAGAGTGTGACCACCATTATGAGTAGGTCTGATTACGTTCTGATTAATCCCTACTGAATCTAAGATGGACACAACCGTTGTTCTCAGAGGGTTTTACCAAAATGAATATTAAAATCACCGACGATTAATGCTTTATCTACAGAAACAGCCAGGTTTGAGATAAAGTCTGCAAATTTGCTAAGAATTTCAGTATATGGGCCTGGGGGTCTGTAAATAATAATTAGAAGATTACTTATATTTTGTGGCTACATAAGTTATACTGGTATACAGAATTTCAAAAGAATTAACCCTAGCAACCACCCATAATACCCTAGCAAATGCAAAGCAACACCCTAGCAAACTTATAGCAACAACCTAGCAACACCCCAGCAACCACCCATAACACCCTAGTAACCACCTATGACACCCTAGCAAAAGCCTAGCAACCACCCAGAACAACCCTAACAACCACCTAGAACACCCCAGCAACCACCCATAACACCATACCAACCGCCTTGCAACCACCCATAACACCCTAGCTACCGCATAGCAACACCCAAGCAATTGCCCATAACACTGTAGGAACACCCTACCAACCACCCAGAGCACCCTAGCAACCACCCATACCCTAGCAACCGTATAGCAATCACCCATAACACCCTAGCAACTGTCTATCAACCACCCAAAGTACCCTAGCAACCACTCATAATACATTAGCAAATGCATAGCAACACCCTAGCAACCGCCCAGCATTCACCAATAACACCTAGCAACCACCCATAACACCTTAGCAACCACATAGCAACCACCCATAATACCCTAGCAAATGCATAGCAACACCCTAGCAACCGCCCACTCCCTAAAAACCACCTAGCAACATCCCAGTAAGCACCCATACCACCCTAACATCAGCCTAGCAACCACCCATAACACCCTAACAACAGCCTAGCAACTGCCCATAACACCATAGCACCACCCAGAACATACTAGCAACCACCCAGAACATCCTAGCAACTGCCTAGCAACCACCCATAACAGCCTAGCAACCACCCATGACACCCTAGCAACCACCCAGAACACCCTAGCAACCACCCAGAGCATCCTAGCAACCGCCTAGCAACCACCCATAACACCCTAGCAACTGCATAGCAACCACCCATAATACCCTAGCAAATGCATAGCAACACCCTACCAACCACTCAGAACACCCTAGCAAACGCATAGCAACACCCTAGCAGCAGCCTAGCAACCACCCAGAACACACTAACAACTGCCTAGAAACACCCCAGCAACCACCCCAACACCCTAGCAAAAGCCTAGCATCCGTCCGTAACACCCTAGCATCCGCCTAGCAACCACCCATAGCACCCTAGCAACCACCTCACAACAACCTGTCAACCACCCCTAACACCCTCACAACAGCATTGGAACTGCTCATAACACCCTAGCAACAGCCTAGCAACCACCCATTACGCCCTAGCAACCAAATAGTAACAACCTAACAATCTCCTATAGCACCCTAGCAACCTAACAGCCACCTAAAGTACCCTATCAAACACCCAGAAAACCCTAGCAACTGCCTAGCAACCACCTAGCAACCACCCATAACACCCGAGCAACCGCATAGCAACACCCTATTAACTGCCTAGCAACCACCCAGAACACCCTAGCAAACGCATAGCAACACCCTAGCAACCACCCATAACACCCTAGCAACAACCTAGCAACTGCCCGTAACACCCTAGCAACCGCCCATAACGCCATAGTATCCACCTAGCAACCACCCATAACACCCTAGCAACCACATAGCAACAACCTATTAACTGCCTAGCAACAACCAAGACTACCCTAGCAAACACATAGCAACAGCTTAGCAACCACCCAGAACACCCTAGCAAACGAATAGCAACAGCCTAGCAACCACCCAGTACACCCAGCAACCTCCTTACAACCACCGAAAGTACTCTTGCAACCACCCATAACACCCTAGCAACCGCCTAGCAACCACCCATATCCTAGCAACCGCCTAGCAATCACCCATAATGCTCTAGCAGCACCTTAGCAACCACACAGAACACTGTAGCAAGTACATAGCAGTCTATCTGTCTGAGATACTTAAAACCTTCAAACTTTGAGCTTTTAAAAAGTAACTGCTTCAAAATCTGTCTATATTTCTTATCTATCTACAGCTAGGGCAATGAGTATTGCATGTGGCAATGTTCACAAGGAATTGTCACCAGGCATCCGTATTAACTCAAGAAATCCGGAAATATAAAGAATTCACAACATTAAAGTCCATAAATAAAGTTATGTGTAATAAAGTGGAATGACACAGGAAATAAGTATTGAACACGCTAAGTGAAATGTATTTCATTCTTAGTGGAGAAGCCTTTGATTATAATGACAGCTTCAAGACACTTCCTGTATGAAGAATGAATCGGTCGCAGTATTCAGGTGTGATTTTGACCCGTTCTTCTAAACACATTGTCTTTAAATCTTGTTGGATCGATCGATCTATTTATCTATTTATCTATCTATCTGCCTATCTATCTAATCAACTTTATAACAATTGGCACTCCACCCATCTTTCAGACTTGCTTTCTCAAGCCAACATCCGAGTTCGACGTGACGAAATTTACCTATCTAGTTTTATAACTGTTTTATATAATGGTCATTAGGATCTTATCAGTACAATGCCCGACTTATAAACTCCTTATTTTCATGAATGACAGAAATAATAGCCCAATTCTTAACTGTCAATTCAATTTGTGTTAAAGTGTACTGCTATATATTCGTCCTTCATTCTGGTTACTAGAAATTGCAGTCTTAACTTTTCCAGGAGCAGTTAACAGTTTAAATTTTAACTCGGAGTAGAACTCGATGTTCTGAATGTTCTTGCTGTGGCTCAGAATGTGATGAGAGCTTCTTTTTTGAATATAATGACCTTTATTTTTCTTATTAACATAGTTGCCGTCTTGGGGCTGTGATGTAGAGGCAGAACGCTCTGACACATTGAAGAAAAATGTATTCCACTTCCTTCTGTCGTCCCCGGTTCATCCCCCTGCCCGTTACCGCTTATCTCCTACGAACGAGCAACCCATCTCCTGCGACGGAGTGCGTCAACACACCGCCCTCGCTGAGTGTCACACCACCCATCTGCAGGCCATCAGCCAGGTCTTTATTCAAGTATACATTGTACTACAGTGTGACAAAGTTCAGTCTTCCACAATCAGCTCAGTTTATTGCTTAAGACTGAAGTTAAACACTGATTTAGGACACATATACACACACGGACAAACCCACATTTCTCACTGCACTAGGGTCAATAAGGAAATTTTATGTTTAATGCCCAGAGTTAATGTATACACTATGTATGTGGACACCTTTAGTGTAATAAGCACACAATTGTGTGGAATGTCTTTGTACACTGTAGCAGTAAGACGTCCCTTCACTGACACGAAAAGTTTAAGGGAAAACAGTGCCTCGGTGCACAACGCAAGGCATGGTTTGCCAGGTGAGGTGGTAGCTCAGTGGTTAAGGCAGTGGATTCCTGATTGGAAGGTTGTGGGTTCAAATCCCATATCAACTACCAACCTGCCCCGGCACAGCAAGACCCTTAACCCTCAACTGCTCAGTTGTATAAAATGAGATGAAATCTAAGGCGCTATGGATAAGGGCGTGCTGTAAATGTAAACGTAAGCAAAGACTCCTAGTGGTCTGCACTTCAGCGCCCACTGAACACTTTTGGGATGAATTGGAATGCTGCCAGACCTCCTCGCCTAACATCGTTGCCCAACTTCACTAATGCTTTTGTGGCTGAATGAGCACAAATCCCAATAGCCACACTCCAAAATGAGTGGAAAGCCTTCCTAGAAGAGTGGGGGTTAAATTAACAGCATTATATTACACAGGGTTATTATAAGGGGGGCATAAATGTGGAATGGAATGTTCTTAAAGCTGTTATGGGTATGATTGGTCAGGTGTCCACATACCTTTGGCAATATTAATATGAACACCTTCAATGGGAATTTGTGTTTTAGGATGGGACTGCGGTGCCTTTGACACTTTTTCACACAAAATCATTGGCTGATCTGAGTGATGTTCCACTCTTGCTCCATGTATACGGTGCTTACGGCCTGGACCTCAACATGGCCTTCAGTCCTGAGAAGAGGCTGCTGCTGGAGGACAACTGGGCTTTGGCCTACTGCCATGTCAGGTACCGAACTATCACTCCTCTCATGTTTCAGGCCTGTGCAAAATGTATAGTGTTAAGGAGAGCTTGTTGGATCTGTAATAGTTAAGGGCCAGGTTAGTATCCTGAAAGAAATATTCACACAAATGTCAGCGAATAATAGCAAATCCCTGTGTGTTATTATATACGTGTATGCATGTGTGTGTTGGGGGTAATTGAACAGGGGTGGTGGTGAGTGTGGTCTGGCCTGGCACCGAGCAGGGTGTTTGCAGCACAAGCAGAATGGAGTAGAGGATCTCACTGCCTGTATTCAGACTCTCTTCCAGTCAGGAGTGTCCCAGCCTGCACTAACTGCCCTCACCGCGCGCAGTGCTGGAGCTGTACTAGCGGGTGCACTGTGCAACCAACATCCTCACCTCCTCAGAGCCGTCATCTTGCAGGTGAGTTGCAATAACGTGGTGCGCTACTACAGGCTTCTTTTCTAGCACAGAAGCTGGGATTTTTCAGAAATAAGGAAAGGTAAAAATAACAGAGTAGTATAGTTTCCAAGCTCTTCCCAGTGCTGTCTGAGTCTTCCCAGCTCTTCTCTGAGATTAGCTATGGATTGCTGGTCCAGGTGTTTGATGTATACTATTACCTAGCATACAGCAAATCCAGCACATGCTGTTTTAACAGTGGGGATTAGTCAGTCACTGTAAATGTCTCTTGTAGACCAACCTGCTAAGCAATGATTATCTGTACTTCTCATTGGGCAGAATTTAAAAAAATAGGCCCCAGCTGTTTTACCACAGAGCAAATTAACAGGACTTATTAGCAGTAAACACGAATCGAATTAAGACGTGTGGAGTATTCCTGTTTTAGTCCCATTATCGACTTATGTTACAGACATGTACACATCTTAATCACACTGTTAACGTCGTGTGGGAGTTTTCACCGCATTTTGCGACAGGACCCATACACAGACGGCAGTGCTCAACTGTTTGACAGCAAACAAGAGAGCCCGGCTTCGTCTGAAACCACGTAGTTACCTCCTATATAGTAGGTGATACATGTATTTCTTCTACTATATAGTAGGTAATTCGCTGTTTCGGACGCAGCCCATGGCATCAAACAGTCGTCTATTAGCACGTATAGCATGACAAATAATTAACTGCACTTGAAGCTTTCGTAAAATTAAAAATGAAACACCCAAAACTGTATGTTGATGCGTGAAATTCTGGAGGGAACGTAATGACGTGTGACGTTAATCGATCTATGTTCTATAACATGTAAAGCGGAAGCATGAAAGGAATATTCTGAAAGTGACTCATGTAAAAACCTTAATCACAATATTGTCTTATTCAGAATAAGGTCAGTAATTAGATTATTGTTGTCCACGTAAATGCAGTCATTGACCAATTCAATCATGGGGTTTTTTTTGTTTGTTTGTTTGTTTTTAATCTGTCACATTAGTTTGTGTAATTGTAATTTTTCCATTCAGAATGTTCATTTGACACAAAAAAAAACGCATCATGTTTTAAACACCACCAGTAACATCATTCCAGGTCGACTGACACATTGTGAGCCATAGCAAGAATATTCCGGACATCAACATTCCCGGAATGCTGGGAATTTAACTGTGCTGTGACCAATAAATACTCATTATCAAGTTCAACTTCTTGTTAAAAACTTACTGACGATGCAGTTAAACTGTTACCTGCTCCAGGAAATTTTATGACTCTGCAGTTGCTAGTAACTTGAATGAATAAAGATTATATGGCACTACATTAACTCGAACACAAATTGATTTGAAGAGTACAGAAGGATGACATTTGGAAAAAATGAGGAACCTGTGAAGACAGCAGTCTCATGCTGCCTTAATCTTAGAAACATGCAGTACTTCCCAGATCAGCTGTTTCCTGACTGTAATGAGAGGAGAGGGATTGATTTTATATTCGAATATTGATATTGAACCCTATATCATGATGAATTCAGCAAATGTTTCTTGTGTGAACTGCATTCCTCATGCTGTGACATCAATATATAAGAATCACTCGCATTGGATTTTCTATTTAGGCACCGTTTTTGGATGTTCTTAGCACCATGCAGGACTCGTCCCTGCCGTTAACAGTGGAGGAGAGAGGGGAGTGGGGTGACCCGCTTGCATATACCCGAGACTGGGACAACATTGCCTCTTACTGTCCCTGTCATAATATTACTCCTCAGGTAATTCAGACTAACTTTCCCGGGGCCACTCTGAATGTTTTGTGATGACTTACTGCGGTATCTTTTGTGCTCCAGCTCTATCCATCCATGCTGATCACTGCATACTCTGAGGACAGCAGAGTGCCTTTGGCAGGTGTCTTAAAATATGTGGAAAAGCTCAAGAAGGCCATCCAGACCCATACCAGCAACCTCGGTGTTAAAGGTTAGTCTACATCTCTGGAAATTTCTGATTCATACTATTATTTGCTTCATTAGAGCTAGAAATGGTGATTGAAATTAATTATTAGCACTTGAGGGGTTTTATTTAAACGTCAAGTCAGCTAGTAGAAAGTCAGTGAAATTAGTTCATTCTAATTTAATTCCAATCAGTTTTATTAAAGGACAGGTCAGTGTTTTTACAAGCATTTCTCGTCATATTTAATTAAGTTTTTCATATACCGCATCGACTTATTAGCTTGACAGAGTTGAGGAGTTCCACGAGTAGAAATTCTGACTTGACGGGGCATATTCTTTGGTTTTTCTTCTGTGTTTTTTTTCCTGTTGAAATTTATTGCCGTATCCGCCTAGAGGTTGTAACTCATAATACCCAGCCTCTAGTCAAATGCAGCTATATTTCAGCAGCTGTCAATTAAATATCTTCTCAACCTCTCTGGCCCTCCTTGCACTAGCATTGCATGTTCTGGCCTAAACGGTGTGAGTGTGTTTTGTGATTTTGGAGCGTACACTGAACATAGAGGATATATTTGTTTGGGTTTGAGTGTCAAAACAGCTAGCTTTAGATGGCAAATCTCCAAGGTGACAACTCAAGTCCAGTCGCCTTGACTTGCTACTGCTTGACATGACCTGAATGTCCGACGACCTTCACAGACCGTGCGTATACTGTGACAAGCACGCTTGTGGATTATTCCGCCGCATAAGATGTGTCAAAATCTGTCAAGAGTAAACCGAAAACTGCGTCTATTGTTGTTGAAAGGACAGTAAGAATAATAGGACGATAGGAGTATGATGTCACTAAACGTAGAGGTCGTTGTCCAAAAGGCCAGCTCTCAAATCAGCCGGTAGGATTAGCGCACGCTCTGCTGTCGTCTCTTCAGGAGAGTATGTGTCCCATCTGAAAACAGGCGATTTGTTAGACGTCTGTTCTATCATGCTGAGGTCACCTTGTGTGTGAGCATTCTCTCTGAGATACGGTGTCAGCACATCCCAATCCCTTAGAGTGCAAATCCCTTTCCTTCTCCGTGTCTGCTTAATTAACATGCACACAAGCACACACAGATGAATGCTAAAAGAAAGTCTCCCTCTAATCTCTTGCTACCCTTCTTTGGGAGATAAAATGCTGATCACACACGCCAGCAGCTGGAGCGATTAGCATGTTTGAAAGATAGCATATCAGATCAGGAACAATACACCGGGCTGGGCCAAGGTCAGGAGGAGGCTTGTGAAAAACAGACCAAAGAGAGGCTCGCTGATAGGGAAAGACACCCACGGCGACACTGCTGATAACAGACAGCAGACGGAGGAGTTTTCAGGATTAGCTGTGTGATGTTCAGACATCGCTGTACTTCAGAGTCGGGATGTAAAGTGACAGCATGCAAGTTTCTCAATGGCCTCTCAGCATTAAGAGCACACTGTTGGATATGCGATGAAGTATGGGAGAGAGCCTAGCTCTTTTAGATTATGCTGTCTACATGGCTTCACCTATCCAGTGGACTTGACATTGCAATCATATAACCCTGAGTCCATCACAGAGACATGTTTTACAATAAGGTTTACAAAAGAGCAGCTCTGTTTGTGCCATCATGACTAACCAAACCTCATTACCAGGGATAACTCTTGGCTGCTCATTCACAAAGCTTTCCTGTTAATAAATACAAATGTTTACTAACGTTTTGTTTAGTAAATGTTTCGTAAAACCTTCAAATAACGAGTTAAAATTGTATCATGTACAGTTGTCACAAGTTTTTCTTATATTTATTATACTGTATATGTGTGCCTTGCAGAATCTGCAAAATGTTAATAATTTCAAAGCTTTTATGAGGGGTCATAAAAATTGCATTTTGTTTTTTCTTTCGTACACATAACATGTTTACATATAGTCCACAAGACACAGTAATATCTGAATTTACACAAATGAACCAGTTCAAAAGTTTACATACGCTTGATTCTTAATACTTTTTGTTGTTACCTGAATG